GCATTAACAAGTATACATTACTTCAGTTTCTATTATATTTAACATTGGTTACATTACGCATACGAACTCACCTGAATTATAATGGGTGTCAATAGATTTGTATGTTGTTTCAAAGTGTTGGTTCACCCAAATAAAGACACTCACTGTTTTACTTATTATACTTAATAGTATTGAACAATGTCAATAGTTTCTGTTGGAAAAACTTCAATTAGGAGAAAAAAATGGAAGTTGGTCATGTACAGCCAGTGTTTGGTTTGTCTATTCTGGGCTACTGCAGAAATATGGCAGTTCAACATGGTGGTAGAAGAGGACCCCCTCCCTCTGTAGATAAAAGCGGCTCATTCTAAGGTAACAAAAACACAATCATTCTTATATTTAGGAGCTCAACGCACAAAACTCAGGTCAAACTGTCAAACTAGGCATTGTTTTCTGCAACGGATGAATCGAAACCAAGTGTGAACCTATCATGTTATCACTTATTGGTTTGTGAGTACCGTTTTGAAGCCTCGAGTTTGGCATTATGGTTGTGGCCATGACAGTGTATTGGAGCCAGTGGAGGTGATGTAGTGCGAGATGAGCTGCTATCATTGGCTGTGCAGTTTTGACTCATCCGTAGAAATAGGCGACACAGTAACAGAATCTTGCTCAGTGGATGTGTACTGGTGGCTTCAAGTTTCTACATTATACAGTACAAGTTGCATACTGGACCAGGATGACTTCCAGACTATTTGTGATAATGTTACACTGTCATGCTCGTATCACAAATCCTGCTGGTAGGCCCCGCCCCTTAAAATCAGATGTTCAATGAGCACAGAGAAAGACTTTCCTCTTTCAGCAGATAAATGTGAAAACATCCTTCTAGTATCAAACTCTGTACATACAGCATTCAAACAGCACACTGTAGAGACAGGAAGATTTCTGACCATATTTGCCACAATAAAGTACTGTGATTCATTAGGCCCATGGTAAAAATCAAATAAGTGAACACACAGCATTGCCCTTGTACTTCTCTGGAAACTTTTAAAGCTTGTGAATGTAAATCTATAAAAGGTCCAGTGTGTAACATTTAGGAGGATCTATTGTCAGAAATGCAATATAAAATTAATAGCTATGTTTTCATTAGTGTATAATCCCCTAAAATTAGTAGCGTAGTAGGTTTTTGTTACCTTAGAATGAGCTGTTTATCTACAGAGCCGGTGACTTCTAAAAAGTCTGCCATTAAAACCACAATGTTTCTACAGTAGTAGTAGTTTTTGTACACGTCTGCAACTTCACCCCTAGATGTCACTAAATCCTACACACTAGTCCTTTTAAATCCATTACATTTTGTCACACAGATATACAAATAAAACCATAAATCTCTAGTTGGATTGCAGCATGTGAAATGCAGAGATTCTGTCTTTCTCGCTGACTAACATTCTCCTCGTTCCCTGCCCTTTCTCTCTCAGGTATTCTGAGTATGATCATTATCAGGACCTTGAGAAAGGACATTGCTAACTACAACAGAGAAGATGACATAGTAAGAAAACAAACACCTGTTTGCTTAGTTTCAGAGTCTCTGTGGAAAGATAAAGAATGTCTTTGAGCATCTGTATAGATCAGATTGATTTTATTTTAGTTTAAGTGAAACTTAGTATATTCCAGGCAATTAACCACATTTTCTACCCCCTAACCAGGAGGACACCATGGAGGAGTCAGGGTGGAAGAATGTCCACGGTGACGTCTTCAGGCCGCCTCAGTATCCCATGATCCTCAGCTCTCTGCTGGGCTCAGGGATCCAGCTCTTTTGCATGATCCTCATTGTCATCTGTGAGTTTTTTTATTTTTTTAATCTTTTTTATCATCAATCATTATCTATCTATTTATTTAGCCAGGTAACCAGAGGAGACTCCAAGGATTCACTGGCCCAGCCAACAAATCAGTGGTAGCATGTTAATTAGAAATCTTTAAAGATGCTGATAGGTAACCTTTAGTCAGAGCTAGGCTGTTTCCAGTCTTTAGGCTAAACTACGATAATGTCCTGCTGGCTCTCGCTTAATGTTTAGTGTACAGTATAGACGTGAGAGTGGTATCAATCGTCTTATCTCACTTTCCCAAAGTTGATTTATTCCTTTTGATAGTTTCTTATTCATAAGGGATTTCTAAAATTAAGTTACTGCGGAACTTACTTAAACTTAATTAACACAATGCATGATTATCAATATAATCTAAGAACGGTTCTAACTAGTGTGTGTGTGTGTGTGTGTGTCAGTTGTTGCCATGTTGGGCATGTTGTCTCCATCCAGTAGAGGAGCTTTGATGACCACCGCTTGCTTCCTCTTCATGTTCATGGGGTAAGAGCCATATTCATCTCTGATCCTCATGAAGAATCCCAGAAAATGAAGCCTGTTTTCACATGCATTTCTTTCACACTGCTTTTCTCCTGTGCATGTTTCTTCTCCAGCGTGTTTGGTGGCTACTTTGCTGGCAGACTGTACCGCACACTGAAGGGCCATCGGTGGAGGAAGGGAGCATTTTGTGTAAGTCTGTAATAAGTTAAATCCTCAGTGTGAAAAGAATTGCCTCTCATCACTCCTGAGTTGGTATATTTGCGTAGCAGTGTTCTGCATGGCAAGCAGGGTTAGCCACTTTTTATGTGTAATTGAAGTGCTTCTTACCCTGCTGTTGCTGTGACAGAGGCTTAGGGTTTGTTTGTTTTGTCTCCCCTGTAGACAGCAACTTTGTATCCTGCTGTGGTTTTTGGAATCTGCTTCATTCTCAACTGTTTCATCTGGGGAGAACACTCCTCTGGGGCAGTAAGTATCATGACTCAGATAAACATAATATAAAATGTATGCATCCATAGAATATAAGGAAACAGCAAGCTAGAAGGCTAATTACTTTATTGTACTGTGACGTTAACATTAAAGTCATAGCAGATCACTTTTAATACTTTGTTTAAAGGAAAAATGTACCCTAAATTACTGTTGACATGTTAAAATCAAATTATGTGACTTTAGAGAGAAAACATAAGAAACATGTTCCTCTTACAAATGAGAAGTTAAAGCTGCGGTAGGTAATATTTATAAAAATACTTTTTTGTCATATTTGCTGAAACTTTCACTATATCCTGACAGCAGTACATGAGACAGATAATCTGTGAAACAATCAGGTTCCTCTGGCTCCTCCTAGTGCTCCTAATGGCATTTGCAAGAACAAAACAACCAATCAGAGAGTTAATTGTTGATTCCCAGGTCATCAAATATGAACGCTGGGAACGAAACTCAGCAATCGATCTTCAAGCTTACAACCCAAAGTGTCTTTCTATCTTTCTTTGCTCTTATTTGCTGTTTTGGGGAACTGTTTGTATCAGATTATCTGTCGCATGGATACAGTGAAAGTTTCAGCGAATATTCCAAAAAGCTATTTTTATAGAAATTACCTAGTCCAGCTTTAAATTCAACACCAGAACACATTTCAGTACAATCAGCTTTTTGCTGCTGCAGCATCACTTGATCTGATTTGACCAGCAGCTTATAGTGACTAATAAGACTTGATGTGCTGAAAGATAGTTTTCTGACTACTGCCACACTACGTTTCAGCATATCACAGACTAACCTGTCAGTGGCTTTATCACAAAAGTCAATTTAGGAAGTAAACACCATATTTATTTTTATCAGTGACATGCTAAATGTAGTGTACGGTAAGACAAACAAAGAAAAGTGGCTCAGAAGGTAGAGTGGGTCGTCCACTAATCAGAAGGTTGTCTGTTAGCCTGTGGTTCTGTGTTATCAGCATGTGAATGGGGTGAATGTGAAATGTAGTGTCAAAGCGCTTTGAGTGGTTGCAAGACAAGAAAGGTGCTATACAAGTACAGTCTATTTACCATTTAAAACACTGCACAATCACAACTTTAAGTATATTTTTCTATAGTACTTGTATACTTTTAACTTAGTAGGTTGTAGAATGCAGAACTTTTAGTACTTCTGCTTAAATAATGACCTGAATACTTCCTCTACACCCTGTTAGCACACACAGCCTCCCTGCGCCTGTGTGTTACAGGCTGAGCCTTCCCCTTTAAGAAAGGTGGGCTTGTGGGCAACCTGTTTGTGACAGGTTAGCTATTTAGCTGCTAGCAGTCATCAAGCCTGCAGCTTCTAGCTCTGCAGCGCTGAAACTATGTGGGAGACTTCTGGTTTTATGCTATTTTAATTGTCTTTAGCCTGACTCATAGCTGCTAATTAGCTAGAACTAACTCTTGAGTCTGCTGTAAAGTGTTAGGCTAAAAGAAGATGCTAAAGTAACATTACATAAACAGCAACTTTTTATTTCTTTTTTGTGGCAGCAATACAACACACAGTAACTAGTATACTGCAATCTGAGTTTATCTGCACACTTTTTAAGTAACTAAACTACCACTCTATTAATGTTACACCAAAGATGCTCACAATGTAAACTTTCTTAACCGTCTCTTCTTACAGATATATTTGTGGGAGTGGGAGAAATCTTGTGCTACTGTTGTCCTGGAAAATGTGAGTTGCCTGTCACATGTAGTTTTAAATGAGGAAATCTGCAACTTTATTTAAAGAAAGTTCAAACCAGGGCAAAGCCTAACTGGCCATGTGGGTAGTTCATTTGAGGAGGGCCATTAGGGGCATCCATGGCACTGGCTGTGGGTGTCACACTTGTGCAGAACACAAACATCATTGTGCACACGTTTTATTGGGACATTACTTCTGCAGAAAGGAGCTTCAATGTCCAGAGTTTGATTTCAAAACATACTTTTATATTTAATCTGTTTTTCTTCTTTATCATGTTACATTTATAGTAACACACTTTCTCTTAAACAGTAGGTTTATCATGTTTTTCTAATGGTGTCAGTGTAAAGTTATTGCACAGAAAGCAATTCTCCAGCCTTAAGGATTGTATTATCCTAGTCCTGTATCCTGTTACAGCTGACTGTAACAGGTGGCACTGCACTTGTCAAACTACACCACTCTCTTATATTCATAACACAACCTGCATCAGCAAGACCACAGCCACGACAGTACAGGACATTTCCTTTTTCATTTCATTACATTTTACTGGGTTGTATTAGAAATAAATAAAAAAAATGGCTTTAAAAATGTTTTTCGCCAGTGGGAAAGTATTAAACATGTTGACTTGAAACATTCATTTTCCCACAACGGCAACATTATTTCCTGCCATTTTATTTCTCAGAATCCAGCATGATTCTCTGCAGCCCGTTCCATTTTAAAAGGTCACCATGCAAGAGAGTTCCTCATCTCTGGTGATGCAGAATCTCCTGCTCCACACAGGCACAGACATTCTTTGTGCTGCACTCGAAAAAAGACAGATGGGGGAGAAAAAATGCTGACAAGATGTGTGACACGGAGAGACTTGCTTGCAAAACAGAATAGTGATGTGTTGGCGTGAGACATTATCACAATGTTCCTTTCCTCTCACATGTTCTCAAATGCTCAGAAACATATTTTAAGTTGTGCCACACACTCACTAAGTCACACAACTTGAAAATGACTTTAAATTAAAATGTGCAAAATCACTGCATGATGATTTTGAGTTGCTTTCAGTTCATAAACGCTAGAACTCTGACGGCAAGCTGCTTCTTCTTGTCGTTGAGTTCTGTGTTGTAACAGGAGGCATAATATCACAGATGTAGGTGTAACAGGGTTCCAACACACCCTGGAATACCTGGAAAATTGTCTAATAGTTTTCCAGTCATGGAAACAAATGTAATTTTATTAAAATGACCAAATATCCTGGAAATGATATACGATGCCATCACTGTACAGCCTACCCCCCCCCCTTCTGCTTCTTATATCTTATATAGTAGAATATCCAAGACTGACAGCTCCAGTATTAGCCACCACCTTTTAATACCAAGCAGGCAGGACTATTTCTTTGGTATCTGGTGCCTTGCATCAGCTAAATGATCATATGATGGGCAGTAGTTGCACAGAGAAGACAGAAACAGGTTTGTGGTCTGATTGCAAGGGTCAAATCACAGGCCTGACTCGGGTAGTGTTTCTGGGAAAAGTGAGCATTTCATTTTCCGTTTTTGGTCCCCCTATTTATAAATGGCAGTCGGAAACGGCTTGTTTCCAAATTTTGGTTTTCTCATATCAAAACTAAAATCTGTTGGCCGCACTGACCCATTTAGCTCTCAAAAACAACTTCATCAAGCTGAAATCTTTACATCGACAGGTCAAAGACATAAACTGTCACAAAAACATAAAGAATAGGCAGTCTGAAATAACAGGATGGAAGGGGGAAGGGGAGTAGAAGAAGACAAGGAGTTCCTGACAGACATGCTTACTTTGGAGGTACTCTCAGTAAGGGGGTATATATTATATATATAAGTATATGAATAAGAGGTTCCTGTAAATATGGTCTGGTTTCACACTGAAACCAGATGGTAGTGGATTATTGGAAAATGAAATCACAGATGTCAAATGGCTTATATTGCCTTACGAGAAATGTGCCATTTCCAAAACAGCTGCCATGTTTTTCCAGTTTGGAATTCAGAATTAAAGGCCGATGACAGCCCAAAGAAAAGAATGGTGTATAAAGGCTTTATTTTGATTTCTGGGTGAAATAGGGAACTGCCATTCATCTATTGTACTACTTGAAATTACATCTGTCCCAAGCACTTGCATGTTGAGCCTTACTTGTCGAGTACAATGGCAGAAGTTAAAACTGTTGTCTGGTGTTGACAAGATATAAAATGTGTCGTTAAAAAAATTTCCAATACAACTTTTACTTACGGAAAGTTCTGTGGTGTCTGTATTGTGGTTGCCCCTAGCAGCCACAGCAGCAGCAAGCAGACGAGTTTATACCACAAATGACGTTGTCCTCTAATTGAAGGTGAGTGGCTTTTATACTTAATGGTAGTCAAGTGTTGCTCACTGTTAGCTGCCAAGGAGCGGATGCTGAGGAGGCGGCGAGTGACAATAAAAACTGAGAGGTTGAAGGACGACAAAGGTGTGACAAATGGAGGGAGGAATGAGGAAGAGAAACACTCAGATGAAGCTGTGTAGGTGTTAGATCGACCTGCAGTAAACTGTTAAAGCTGCCAACAATCATTTTACTTTCTGCTGAATGTCCATATGAAATAGTAGATAACACCTTATCGATTTGAGTCATACCGTACAAATACCCTGATTAAACCAAGAATGCTACAAAAATTCTACAAAAATTCGTATTGAATATCTGCCTTTCTTTGCAGGTAAACATTAGCACGTGGGTTGTAGGATATCCTGTCCCTGCCTGTCAAACCATCTGCCATTCAGGTATTTACTAAGGGAGTAATACCAAACTAAGAGTTACTGATTAATCAGAAACAATCATTTATTTATTGACAACTACACTGGAACATCACAGAATGACTGGATAACACGCAGACTTACACAAATATAGAGAGACAGAAATCTGTGTGGCATTGTGTATCTTATTTCAATGTAAAGAACATTATAATGTCCCAGGCACTTCCAAATAATTACATTACATTGCAGGTCTCGTTTTCCTTCAACTCATCTTGATTCTGAAAAGCTTTACAATTTTGAAGCATGTTTTAAAGATAATACTTATATGTGTGTGTGGTATAAAGTGGTATAAAGTAGCAATTCAAAGTCTGGCTTGTACAGCATGTTGGTCAACAAGGGTTGTTTTTAAATGTGCTTCATAAATACATTTGATTTGATTTGAATTGAAATACTAGAGTAGAGTCAACATCATACTGAAGTGCAATACTGGAGTAAATTTTTTGCAAGCATGTTTGATTTGCTCTGCTAAGTAACCCTGCGCGTCCTTAACAGAGATGTCATTGTGGACTTCCGTAACGTTGTCTTCTCAGAAACCTCCATTTCTTTTATTTCAGTCATGCTAAATAGCAAGATTTGTTCAGTAGGGACTGCTTTGACGCTTCCCTCGTCCCACGTCATTTAAGTTGAAGCTAATTTTCATGGTTCTTGGAATTTTTAATAATTTTCATGTTCTTGGAATCTAGCCACGGACACAATTGACAATTACCTCGCTGTGATACGCGCATCATAAGTGACACAAATAAAATGAAGCCAGTCACACTAGATGACACTTGATGTTGCCTTGCATCTTCCTTGTCTACTCATGGTGGCTAACATCGCAAGCATCTGTGTATTCCCTCTGCTTATATAGAACATGTACTTTATTTCAATGAAAATACTACTTTAATTCCTGCTGTTTATAATCTTATTTTGAACTTTGTTTGGTCATGAATCCTGCAGACTGGATACAGCAATGCCTTAGTAAGCTTTGGGCTTATCTGAACTTCTGAAACCACAGGAATTTAGCGGTTGAGTCCCATATTCTGCAAGCAGCTGTGTGCAGCTTATCAAAGCCAATTTTAAAAGTTGCATAACTTTCTCGTAGTTATGAGATAACAGACAAACAGCAGATCCTTTTGTCATTAGCTGAAATGAATACTTTAACTCCTGCTTTGACAGGACCATATGAGATGCACAGTCACCTCACACAACACAACACGACAGGTTCTTATTTTAGGTCAAAGTTAATCCTCTATAGAATTGGTTGTTTACACCACATTGGCAAAGAGGTGCAAAATGCAATGTTCTTAATTACTACACCAGCTTTAAAGGAGTAGTAAAGTAGTAAAGGACCTGTATTTAGTTGTTGAGCAGTTACCAGCTGTTAAGCCCGGTGGTCCATTGTATTGACCTCATTCCATCCAAGATCCAACCATGATTAGGTGTTTAGAATCCATCAACATGGCTCTATGTCCAAAGGATCAAGGTGGAAAAAATGTGATGGATGTACACCAAAATCTGTGGTAGATAAAACATGATAAAGTGCAGACTAGGGTGCCCTTCCAGTGAGAAAACTTAATGAACTGCCCTCCAGTTTGCCCTTCCAGTGGACAAAACGTAGTATAGTGCTCTCTAGGATACCCTTCCAGTGGTGAAAACGTCCACTGTTTCTTTCGCCCCTGCCCCTCAAACAACTTGAGTCCCCACTGGCAGCTATGAAGTACAAGCATCCTCTCCTCTTTCTATGGTAGCTGATGGGTAATGGGAGACTGTGCAGAAAACAATATAAACACTTGAAAGAAACATGCAAGACAATGGGGGGCTCCTACGCTGTGAGAGTTACATCACTGTTGCTGCATTTTAAAAACAAGCATAAAAACATGAGAATCTTTTCTGAAACAATTGCTCCTTCACCTTCCTTCTTGCTCTACCTCTCATCCACACCCAAACAACTCTATAAAGCCACAAAGAGGAAGTGCTAAATATGTACGCATAAGGAGTAGGATTTTCCTGCTAAACTTACTCTTACACAATTTCACACACAGTCTGTTCTTTTCAGCAAGGCTCCTAAAGGGGTACTCCTGTGATTTAGTAGTGCACTTCCTTGAAATTGGGTCACTTGTGTGAGACAGTGTTCAAAATCAATTAAGCAGAAGTGTGGGTCAAGCTAAAAATGTTGCATCCTGTTCCCATAATGCAACTCAACAGCGTCGTTCACCCTCTCTGACTGATAAATCCCCTCCTGCCTTTTGTCAAACTCAGCATGTCACTTCATTTATATTTCCCTTGTTGAGTCGACAAGCACTAACACTCTCTTCTTTGCTCTTATGCCTTTTCCTACTGTGCTGCTGTTAACATTGAGCAGTGAAGCAAAGTTCATACGCAGCATGGCATGTGTGTGTTATGCTACAGCTCTGAGTGCTGATTAAACATAGCAGAGCAGCAGTGAGTAATGGCACGTATACTTCAGTTCTTCGCCTGAAAAAAAATAAGCAGCCCAGACATGTAGTCAAAGAGTTTCTCTTTAAATGTTTTCCAAAAAAATTCATTTTACTCTGGCAATAATTACCACGGCTGCATCACTTAAAATGTTCCAGTTCATAAAAGTGCAATCATTCCGTTAAGTAAAGACTACATTTATTATTATTATTATTCACACTCTCAGCGCTTTTTGAGAGGGTGGACACTCATGTCACATTGGGGAATGGAGCTCTAATGTCGACCTAGAGATCTATAAAAACAGCCAGCAATAACAGAGCTGCAAAGTGACGAACCACAGCAACATGCAGAACAGTCGGCACATGCACCACAACAAAGCCATCAAGTCTTTCAAACCTGAGCTATCGCCCACCCGCGGTGCAACAAATCCATCACCGGACCGAATCCTGGTGATCGGTTTACTGGGCCCTAAGATGCCTGTTGCATTGTGTCTGTTTGAGTGATGTTGTGCGTCAGTGGATCATCCTCCACACACACACACACTCCCAAACATCAGAGGGAGCTTGATGAAAGCGCCTCATGTCATCGGTAATTGAATCTTCACTCCTGTGTCTTGTCTGCTCGGATCTAAAGCCTTTGGAGGAGCAGATTATCGTCACACGTAAGACACACAAATCATCTGCTTCTGAAGTCCCTGCTGCTCTGCTGCTGCTGATCTGAGAACAAACTGCCTGATAACCAGTGTGAGAGGTTCAGACTACACCATATCAGCCCGATAACAGCCTGACCTGACAGACTCATATGACAATTGAATGTTTTATCAGAAGTAGTGTGTCAAACTGGATGACAACTGATGCTGCTTCTGACATCGTGTTAGAATTTGTTTCCACGACAAATTCCACGACATGTTCCAAACGACGACCAATAGGAGCGCTCTTTCATGCATGGCTGTAAACATAGCAAAGTAAAGAGGGGCGGCTGTGGCTCAGAGGCAGAGCGGGTCGTCCCCCATTGAGCAAGATACAACGAACCCCAAATTGCTCCCGATGCATAGCATCAGTGTGTGAATGTGTATGAATGAGTTCTGTTCGATGGACTTTGCCGTGAATGTGTGTGTGAAAGGGTGAATGTGGCCACGTAGTGTCAAAGCGCTTTGAGTGGTCAGAAGACTAGAAAAGGTGCTATACAAGTACAGGTCATTTACCATTTAACCTGATGTTTGTCTGGTGCTGCAAAAGTGAAATGGTAGGCAAAAGGATTACAATGTTTTTTCTTTCTTTTTGGGCGACAGCCAGTATCTTATATACCGCCATTGTTTATTCACATTCTTGTTCCCAGAAGGTGGTCCCTAGCACGTCCTTTCTGATGACATCATGCATATCGTGTAAGATGGTAAGGTACGATTGGTCAGGGACCAATGTGTAGTATGTCATGTCTCTCAATGAAGTTACAGAAATAATTTA